CCTGGGCCACATTTTGAATGCTGAGGCAGGCTGATGCTGCGGCCGAGGCAGGCTGAGGCTGAGGCAGGCTGAGGCTGAGGCCGAGGCTGAAGGCAGACTGAGGCTGAGGCTGAAGCAGACTGAGGCTGAGGCTGAGGCAGGCTGAGGCTGAGGCTGAAGCAGGCTGATGCTGAGGCAGGCTGAGGCTGAGGCTGAGGCTGATGCAGGCTGAGGCTGAGGCAGGCTGAGGCTGAGGCCGAGGCTGAAGGCAGACTGAGGCTGAGGCTGAAGCAGGCTGAGGCTGAGGCTGAGGCAGGCTGAGGCTGAGGCAGGCTGAGGCTGAGGCTGAGGCAGGCTGAGGCTGAGGCTGTGACTGCGACTGCCGTTGCCGCTGCGACTGTCATCGCGAATGCGACTACGACTGCGAGAACAGCAGAATTATACAACTGGATTTTCATCTGAATCTTAAGGGGAATGCTTTCAGATATGCTTCTACACAACGCTGTTAGGTTGCTTTGCCGGGATAATCTGAATCTTAAGGGGAATGCTTTCAGATATGCTTCTACACATCGCTGTTAGGTTGCTTTGCCGGGATAATTACCTAACAGCTCGTGCTGAAAGGTTTCTAGTGGTCTCAAAAGAGAGCATCAGATGACTCCACAGGGGGGTCTGGGCGGGACCCGGACAGGCTGCCGCCGCGGCTGCCGCCGAAGCCGAAATCGCTTTGGACATCCTCGCAAAATCGCTCTTGGTGCTCCCAGAACTCCATTCCCGGGCCACATTTTGGATGCCCGGAGCCAACTGTAGGCCACTTCGTGCTCTTCGACTTCCCAGAACTCCATTCCCGGGCCACATTTTGGATGCCCGGAGCCAACTGTAGGCCACTTCGTGCTCTTCGATTTCCCAGAACTCCATTCCCGGGCCACATTTTGGATGCCCGGAGCCAACTGTAGGCCACTTCGTGCTCTTCAAGTTCCCAGAACTCCATTCCTGGGCATGATTTTGAATGCCCGGAGCCAACTGTAGGCCACTTCGTGTTCTTCTAGTTCCCAGAACTCCATTCCTGGGCCACATTTTGAATGCTGAGGCAGGCTGATGCTGCGGCCGAGGCAGGCTGAGGCTGAGGCAGGCTGAGGCTGAGGCCGAGGCTGAAGGCAGACTGAGGCTGAGGCTGAAGCAGGCTGAGGCTGAGGCTGAGGCAGGCTGAGGCTGAGGCTGAGGCAGGCTGATGCTGAGGCAGGCTGAGGCTGAGGCTGAGGCTGATGCAGGCTGAGGCTGAGGCAGGCTGAGGCTGAGGCCGAGGCTGAAGGCAGACTGAGGCTGAGGCTGAAGCAGGCTGAGGCTGAGGCTGAGGCAGGCTGAGGCTGAGGCAGGCTGAGGCTGAGGCTGAGGCAGGCTGAGGCTGAGGCTGTGACTGCGACTGCCGTTGCCGCTGCGACTGTCATCGCGAATGCGACTACGACTGCGAGAACAGCAGAATTCGACAACTGGATTTTCATCTGAATCTTAAGGAGAATGCTTTCAGATATGCTTCTACACATCGCTGTTAGGTTGCTTTGCCGGGATAATTCAGTCAACCCGGGGGGGCCCTGAGTCTCCAGGGGCTCCGCGCGCATTGCTTTAATCAGCGAATGGCGGGCGGGAGGAAGAGAGAGGGGGGGGGCAAGGAATGACGACGACTGACGACGACTGGCGGTGGGCGACGGTCGACGACGATGGCGACGACGGCGACGACGACGACGACGACGACGACGACCGCGACGAAGACGACGACGACGATGACGATGACGATGACGACAACAACCGCGACCACGACGACCACGACGACCACGGCGACCACGGCGACCGCGACCACCACGACGACGAAGAAGGAGACGATGGTGGCGGCGGCGGCCACGACGACGGTGACGGCGACGACGACGACGCCGACGACGGAAAACTGCTCTACGACGCAGCGTGAGGAAGTGCGTGACGCCCAAGGATATTCAAATTGTCCTGAACGGAATAATGGAAGCGGTGCGATCAGGGTGTCTCGGCGCGACCGCCGCTGGCCCGAACGGGTGGCTTGTCGGGCCCCCCTCCCCGCCGTCGCTTCGCGAAGTCCGCCAGGACCAGGCGCGAGCCTGCGGCTTTTCTGCCCCAGGCGCGACGCGTGGCGTCACCGCGTTTTCCTGTCTGCGATTCGGCCAGTTTCCACTTGGTGCCGCGCCCTGCCCACAGCGCGTCGTCCTTGCAATTCCGCCGCGCGCTTTGGCTCGCGGTCACCGCGCGCCCGCTGCTGGCCCGAGGGGGCGGCCCAGGGCCCGCGGGCGCCCGCCAGCCCCATGCGTCGCGCGCATGTCGCCTTGTTTTGCCGTTGTCGGTTCGGGAATTTCCTCGCTGGCGTTATCTTGATCGATCTTGGAGGCCATTCTGGGTTCCCTGAGGCCCCCTTGGAGCCATCACGGGCCACTTTGGACGGCCTAGCCGCTCGCGCCCCCCCCCGTCCAGGTCCAGGGGAGGGGTAGAGGGAGGGTCAAGTTACCCCCTCCCCCCCCGCAAGCCGTCTCGTCCACTCCCACCCGCCCTCACAACACATACGTAACACCCGAGTCTGGCCCGAGCCTCAGCATATTCAGCAGTCGTCTTGGGATGGGCAGCTACTGGGGGCCAATTCGCCGCCGCCGCCGCCGCCTGCGCCTGCGCCTGCGCCGCCTGCGCCGCCGCCGCCTGCGCCGCCGCCGCCGCCGCCGCCGCCGCCGCCGCCGCCGCTCCGCTGCCAAACCGCCGCCGCCGCCGCAAACCGCTGCCGCTGCCGCTGCCGCCACCGCAGCCGCCGCCGCCGCCGCCGCAGCCGCCGCCACCGCCGCCGCAACCGCCGAAGCCGCCGCCGCCGCCAAGTGTACTCTGTATTGCCTTTTGACAGGGATGGTGGGGGGGGGCGCATCGGGTTGGCTGCGCATGTTCCGAATTTGGAGGCAGAGTGTGTTCTGTATTGTGTTTTACAAGGGATGGGGGGGGGGGGTGGCATGGACCCTGGTTGGTCCCCAGTCGCCTGGGGGAGGGAGTGTTTATCAATAGGGAACAGTGATCAATCCCATCCCCTGAGGGGAATAATGTTTCCGTGGGAAGAGAAAAGCAAACGTCTCGTTAGACCGCCTGCCGTTTAGAGGGCTGGTGGGATGTGAAATTTCTTCCACATCCTCGTGGCCATACATTACGTGTGTGGTATGGGATTGGGCCTTCCCCAGCACTGGGCGGAAATGGGGGGGAAGCGCCGAAACCGAATGTGCCCAGGGCTTGTCGGGTCTGGGCCAATGTGCAGGGCAGGGGGGGAGGGGCCACGGACCGTCCCTCCCAAAACTCTGTATTTTGACTTGTTCTGGGGAACCTTCAGAAGTAAAAAACTTGGTCGAACGACTGAACGCATGTTTGGGCGGATGCGTCCACAACACGCGAAACTATCACATAACATCGCAAGCCTTTCCGATATTCTCTACAGTATGAGCCCTGGCATTTCACTACACGCTGAAGGCACACTGGTGTATTGAATTGAGACGGCCAGGAGGCAAGGTGAACACATTGATTTTGTTATGTTGTGTTTCCGAGAGAGCATTCCTGAGATTTCGTCACTTGTTTGTTCATGTATTGCCAGGGCCAATTGCTCCGCAGGGTTGCTGTTTTGCCCAGCACGCATGCCTTCATGCAAGCGAATTGGTCGGGTTCTTATCCACGCTTGCCTCTCCCACGGCAGGCCTGCTGGGCCGTATTCTCGTGACGATAGCGACGAGGATGCGGGGCTGTGGGGCCATCATGCAGAGCGACGGTTCCATCGCTAGTTTTGCTGCTACTGCTATAGTGCTATTGCGACGCTACTGCTACCGCTTGCACTATCCTTACCCATGCTGGTTGCGAGCATGTTTAGATTCACACTACCCAGAGGATGTGCTGCTGGCGTCGATCGATGATGAAGGGGCCATTGCCAAAGTCCAGAGGGTCGTGGTGAAGGCCGTCAAAGTGGCTGCAATGGCGGCGAGCTGGGGCAATCCAAGACGCCTTTGGCGTGATACAGGTGGCGCATCGGTAATAGGGGAAGACGTGGAGATTTCGGCTTTTCAACAGCTTCGTATGGAGGCGCCGAGAACTTTGAGAGGTCGTCGCCGTCGCCGCGGGAAGCTCTTCCTTTCAGTCTCCTAGAAACAATTACGCTTGCAGACGACCTTGGGGAGGAATGGGTGGAGCAGTAATAATAGGAGAAGGGAAAGGAGGATGCTGAGCCGGTTTGAGCCCCATCCCTCTTCCCTGTCCATTACCCTCTCCCCTTTCTTTCTCGTTCCCCTTCCCATTCCCCACTGCCCACTTTGTGAACCTCCCGCCCGCACCACCACTTTCACCTTTTCCCTTCCCTTCCCTGTCGCCCTTGCTGTGACTATCCCCCCCCTACGCACTGCTCCTTATTAGTACACACCGGGCCGGGTCCTGACCAGTGCCAAGGCTAGCACCCCTTCGCCCTCCCAGCAAACACAGTGCAAACAGTTGTTGCAGCAGAAATTAGATGTGTGGGCGTCCTGCGATAGCTTCATCGTTTTTCATGTTGTTACGTGTGCAGACCCACTATCCCTGACAACAGCAATTGCACATTGTACGTTGCGGTGAAATCGTTGACCATGCGCGGTCGCACCGCGATCATTCGCGTTGCCATTTTACAGGGATGTGGGGATACCCTGGCGCGCGATGCGCTCCTCGCTGGCGTCCCGCACGCAGCTGGCGTCTGCATTGGTTCTCGATGGTTGTCGATTGTAGTTTCTGCTCATGCTGAGACTTGGCAGCTCCTCCTTATGCGCTGGAAGGGCGGGTGGAAGAGCAAGATGGCCTGCGTCTTGTGGGCAGCTTGACCCCTCCCTGGCCCCCCCCTTCCCCCTCGCCTTGCCCCCTCCCCTCGCCCGTCTGTCTTCCCCCCCCGTCTTCCTCACCGCCAGTCCCATCCTCTTGCTCACCATCCCTCCTTCATTCCATCCTTTTGTTTTCGTTGGTTGCCGCAGGTGAAGAGCTCGCTGGGCAGCCATAGCAAGGCCCGATTCCCAGCCAACGAGCTGAATGTCACCCAGTTCTTGCAGGATTTAGGGCCCCGGGGACGGGGACATTGACTAACGCACCTCCCGCCACCGCGCAGTTTCTTTGTTTGTTGTTGAAGACGCCGCCTACAGTGAATCACCATCGCCCCCTGCCTTTTGGAAACGCCCATGCGGCCAAACGTTTGGCCGAAGTCTGGCCAAGCTACTGGACTATGTGTTCCCCCAGCCGTTGTGGAACCTCTTGGGGGAGCACTTGGGCGCGGAAGAAAACGAGTAGGAAAAAGAGGAGACGAAGACGAGGAGGAGGAGGAGAAAGACGATGAGGAGGGCTCTTGCGGCCCTCTTGGAGCCTCCCTGGGTCTTCGTGGGAGCCTCTTCGTGGCCTCTGAGGGGCCGTCTTAAGGGCCTCCCTCGGCTTCTTGGGCGGCCTTCTGGGGCCTCTTGCAGGCCTCTTGGGTCCTCAGGGGGCGTCCAGGGGACCTTTTGGCCTTCAGAGGCTGTCCTTGGGCCCTCTCTGGGCAGTCGTGGGTCCCTCTTTGGGCGCTTGAGGGCCGTCTTGGAGGTCTGGGGCCGTCTTGGGGGCCCTTTGGGCCGTCTTGGGGCCGTCTTGCGGCGATTTGGGGGGCCTCTGGGGCCGATTTGGAGCGTCGGAAGCCCCAAGAGGCGAAAACGCTAAACTCATTGAACACCTCAGGACACTTAATGCGATTAGCCTCCTGGAGGTCCTCCTGGATGCCTCTTCGGGGCCTTTCGGGCGGTCTTAGGCTAGGTTGGGCTCATCTTGAGCCGTCACGGGTGCATTTTTGGCCGTCTTGAGACATTTTGGGAACCTTTTGGGGTAACACGATCATTTTGGACTCGTCCTTGCGCGGGAAGACCGGTGTAGACCGTCGTTTACGCAGCTTTCCCGGGTAGCCAGCGCGATCGGCCGAGGCCCCACTGGAAACTTGAAAAAACACCACGGCAACCTCATTTGGCACACCGTGCACCCTTGTGGGAAGACCTCAGGGGGCGGATACCGAAAACGCCTACAACGAATCACCGCCGCCCCCTGCCTTTGGAAGCGCCTATGTGGCCGAACGTTGCGGCCAGAGTTCGGCCAAGCTATCGTACTCTGTTCCCCCAGCAGTTGTGGAACCCTTTCGGGGACCATGTGGGGAAGAAAGAAGAAAACGGGGAGAAGGAGGAACAAGGAGGAGGAGGAGGAGGAGGAGGAGGAGGAGGAGAAGGAGGAAGCCCCTTGGGAGCCGCTTCGGGTTCTCTTTGAGCCTCCTGGGAGCTGCCTGGGGGCCTCTTGAAGGCATGTGCGAGGTCTCTTGGAGGCTTCTTGGGCCTCGGGGGTCTCCCTGGGGCTCCTTGGGTGGCTCTTTGGCCGTCCGGGGGCGTTCCGACGCCGTCGGAAACCGTCTTAGGGGCCTCTCTGGGCCGACTTCGTTGGGGCCCTCTTGGCTCTTGGGGCGCTTCAGGGCTGTCTTGGAGGCCATCTTGGGCCGTCCTGTGGTCATTTTTGAGCCGTTTCGGGGGCTCCTTGGGCCGTCCTGGGGCCATCTCAGAGGCCTCTTGGGCGCAGTTGGGGCCATCTTGGTGGCCTCTGGGGCCGTATTGGGCCCTTAGAGAGGAGACAATTAGCAAACACAGCAATTCTTCAAACACCTAGCGGACATTGGTAGAGAAACTTCTCGGGCCTTCCTGGAGGTTTTTGTATATCTGGCCTGGAAAGAAGAATACAAGGGTGGGTTCAGAAACCGCCCCCCCTCCTCATAACAAACCCGAAGGGGCGCGAAACCATTGCCCCCCCCGCCCCAAACCTGCCCCCCCTCCCGTGCACTCTGCCCCCCCCCAGAAACCCGGCAGGTCTGCCCCCCCTCCCCCCCCCGAAGAATTATTCAGAGGGGGTCCAGAAACCTCACTCCCTTCCGGGGAAAAGTATGGAATGGGGTGCCGGCAGACGACGGCGACGCCGATCCGACGCCGATGGCAAGGATGACGACGACGACGACGACCGCCGACGACGGCCGACGCCGACGCCGACGCCGCCGCGGACGGCGACGACGACGGCGACGAGGGCGAGGACGACGGACGACGACGAATGCCGCCAGTAAATTGTCATCATCGTCGTCATCATCATCGTCATCCTCATATTATTCTTCGTCCTCGTCCTCACTCCCATCCCCAGCCTCATCTTCATGGTCACCAGGATCACCACTATCATCATCTTCGCCCTTATCCTCATCCTTAACATCATAAGCACCACTACTACCATCAACGCCCTTATCTGGATCATTATCTTCACCATCAGCGTACTCGTACTCGTCATCACTACGGTCATCCCCGTGTTCATCCCCATTAGCGTCTCATTCAGTCTGCATCATCGCCATCATAGTTTTCATCATCGTCATCGACACCATCATCGCCATCGTCATCTTTACTGTGACCATTGCCGTAACCATGTTGTCTCAATTTCTACGCCTGCTCCCTGAGGCTTAGAACCTGTGCGCAACCGTGGGGCTGGGTGGGGTGGAGTGAAGGGGCAGCAGCCAGAGGCGTCCCGCCCTCGCGTAGACCAACCTTCAACCATGGGCGCCGCGCAACTGGGATTCTGGTGCCAGTCGACACGAGCATCTCGAACGTCGGCATCAACCTTGCCAGGTTCGAGCGCCGCTTTTTTTCTTTCCGAGGGCATCGCCGTGCGCGCGAACTCGTTTGACGGCGCGCAGGAGTCCATCGCGCCGCATGCCGCGAGATTGGACAAGCTCGATATGACATTGACAGGCGTCCATCGCGATGGTAAATGGAGGACATCAGCGAGGTCGGCGCCGCGCACGCTACCGCGGCGCGCCAACAGACGCGGGGCGCTCAGCGCGCGCACCTCGACCATGAGCTCAGTGGTGCCTCATCACCATCTTCAGCCGCCTGCTCTGCTGGAGCCCCCTGCCTCCTAGGTTTGTTCAGTGTTGTGCCCCACCGTGCCTTCAGACAAGACTACGGTCTTGGTTCGCGGCGTCCAACATAAGCCGCCGAAGGTCGTCTCCGAAAGGCGCTTCAGCACTGTTGATGGCTCCGCGCCAGCCGAGTACCGCGAGAAGCGGCGCTGCCAGCATCAAAGTTGACGCTTCGCCCGCGCCATCAAGTTTGACGGGGTGATCGCGCCAGGGCGTTCCGCGTGCATGCACGCGTGCGTGTTGACGCGTGATCGCACAGCTCATGAGGGGGAACCGCCGCGACTTGAGGGTCGGCTTCGATGGGCCCGACGACGTCGAGAATGAGGGTTCCAACCGCAGCTCGATCTGGCAACGCATTGCCCCAGACGCGTGGGTCAACGGGTGACGGAGTTCTTCGATCGCGCTCGCGTGCCATTAGTAGCAAGGCCTCTGCGACGCCGCCGTCAATGGCGAGTCGGCAGACCTTGTTGCCCATGCCTCGCGCTCGGAGACGGAAAACTTCCATCGTTGCCGACGCCGCCGTTCTGACGTGCGGGCTCGACGAGAGGTGGTTCCTGGACTCGCCTGCCGCCGCGCGCCGCGCCCGCGCGCGGCAGTGGGGGTCTTGGATTGAGCTCTGTCGCTGCTGCTGCCATCTGACATGGTGGTCTTGCCGCTCTTGCTCGCCCCTGACAGGCATTCTGTGCCTGGCGCTAGGTCTGTCTCTCCTGATAGCTGGACAAGGAGGCATTTTGGGGCAATTTTCGCCGCCTGCCTCCGCCTCCTGGCAGCGATGATATCCTCGCCGGATGCCCTTCCAGGCTAGAGCAAGGGTTTTCCAGGTGCGCGATGGATTTGCCCTCCTTCTTGGGGAGCGCGTGCGGCGACCATTCGAGGTGGGTGGTGTGCAAGGCGCGTAAGTGCTGCGCTCTTATCATATGACACACTACCATGCAAACGCAGGAAACATGCGGGATCGACGCAGGTGTTGGTTCTTCGCCAAGACCCCCCGACTGGCGCGCGCGCTTTTTTCCGCGACAGCCGTCGCGCTGCTGGCGCGACGATCAGCATCGCCAACTTTGTCCTCTCTAACTCCACGACGGCGGAGCCCGTTCAGTTACTCTGCGGCAGGCTGGCCGCCGGAACGGCGTGACATTCGTCTCGTCCCCGCCCTGGGGATCCCCGGAGATATCGCAGCGTGAACACTGCGACCGACAGATTGCCTGACACGTGAACCTGTTTAAGCTTTCTCGCAGGCGACTCCAACTTCCACGAGCTCAGAGACGCCCGCGTCAGGGCGGGCGGCGAATTGCGGCATCTCGAGCGCCCAGCTCTTCTGCGACGTTTTCGCCCGGCGCTTCCTGGCCCTCTTACTTCGCGCTCAGCGAACCTGCGCGTGGGCCCCGGCGATCTCGGGGAAGGCGTTCGTCTGGGCAGGGCGCGCGGCATGGCACCGATCGCTGCGATTCTGGGTGCGATGCCTTCTGCCGGAGCTCCTCAAGTGCAAGGACCTTTGCTCGAGTATGGGCGAGAGCTGTACTCGCCGTGACTATGATGCTGATAAGCTCAACGTGCTGCGTCGGCCCCCCTCGGACCGACCACAGCAGCTGCGACGCGTGGCCCCCTCGCGCGTCACCGAAATGCTCGACGACTTCGACTCGGAGGTGGTGCGGTCCCGTGACATTCCCGAGGGCGAGGAGATCGTCGAGCCCTACTGGGACCCGCTCCTCAACCCTCGAGACCTGCGGAACCGCGGCCGCCTCGTGGACTTCCTGCGCCGGCTTGGTGCCCGGGGCCTGGTCGACGGCCGATTGCGAAGGAAGGCGCGTGTCAGCGCCTTCTTCGTGGCTTGAAAGAGCGGCGGTGTTCGCGTGGTCGTGGGCGCCAGGATGACAAGCCCCGGCTGGGCGGCCTCCAGCTCGTGCCAGCGCGGCCCGCGTCTGTCCAGCTCGGCGGTGAGCTTCGCGAGCCGGTCGTTGATGGCCGGCGCGCTGAGCGAGACCAGGTTCCCGCCGTCGGCGTGCGGCGCCCAGACAACCGACTCACTCGCCGGCGAGAGTTGGCGATCGGGCTTTGTCGAGACACCAGCCGTCGCCCGGGAGCCCTGCCACGTCCATCGCGTCGACGAGAACCCCGCGGCAGATCCAGAAGGCCCAGCTCCAGCCCATCGGCGGCGCAGCGAAGCAGGGCCAAATGCGCTCGTCGCCCGGCGCGCACACGCGGTGCCCCAGCTCCTCGTCAAAAGCGGATTCGATGCCGAGCTCGTCCGCGGTGACGTCCAGGTCGAAGCACATCCAGCTGCCCCAAGCCGGGTCGGCATTTGGTAGAAGCCATCCATGAGGTCCACCGAGCCCACACAGAGCGACGTCGCGTCGATCGCGTCAAGCAAGTTGTTCGACCCCAGCGCCTCGCCCGACGAGAGCGCAGTTCTTGGCGGCAGCTTGTGGAACTGGTTCGGTTGGCGGCGGCGCGCAGACCCCTCCCAGAGCACAGATCGACAACCGATGTGTGATCACATGATTCGTTTGGGTCTGACTCCTCCTTTTCGGAGCCCAGAGTCTCGAGGATGTTTCAGGCGAGACAAACCAGACCACCTCGCCCGCGGCATTTCGTAACCCCGAAGTACGAGGATGCCTCCTGCGAAACGGGTCAGATTTTCAGAGCTCAGAATAGCAAGGATGTCTCAGGCCAAACGAGCTGGACCACCTCCCTCGCGCAGCATCTCGGAGCTCGTTCCTCCCCTTTTTCTCCTCCCCCCGCTCTGCCTGCTCCCTGCTTGCCGCGCAATTCAATCGAGGCATCTCCACGATCTGCTCCCACATGGCTCCCCCTGATAAGCCCTTGCGCTCCACCAGGGAGTCGCGCCGGCGCCTCGGCGCAATCTACCTCCTCCGTCGGGCCAGGGGCGCGTAGACCTCTCCCAGAACACAATTCGACGACATACGAATCATCAAATGGTTCGTTTGGGTCTGATCCCTCCTCGCTTCTCTCTCCCCCCTATCGGAGCCTAGAGTTTCGAGGATGTCTCAGGCGAAACGGGCCAGACCACCTTTGGCGCGGCATCTCTGAGCCCAGAGTTGCGAGGATGCATCAAACGAGACGCACCAGACCACCTCGCGCGCAGTTTCTGAGAGCCCAGGATTGCGACGATGTCTCAGCCGAAGCGGGCTGAACCACCTCGCGCACATCTTCAAGGAACCCGGAGTTGCGAGGATGTGCCAGGCGAGACGCGCCAGCCCACCTCGCGCGCTGCATCTCGGAGCCCCAAATTGCGAGGATGTCTGAGGCGAAACGGGCTGGACCACCTTGCGTGCGACATCCGGGAGCTCAGAGTTGCGAGGACGTCTCAGGCGGCGCCCAGACCACTACCAGAGCACAAGTCGACAACATATGTGTAATCAAATGATTCGCCTGGGTCTTACCCCTCCTCCCCCCTTTTCCACCCCTCTCGGAGCTTAGAGTTTCGAGGATGTCTCAGGCGAGACGCGCCAGCCCACCTCGCCCACAACATCTCGGAGCCCCGAATTGCGAGGATGTCACAAGCACGGGCCACACACACCCTCGCGCACATCTTCTCACAGCCTAGAGTCGCAAGGACGTCTCAGGCGAAACAAGCTGGACCACCTCTAGCGCGACAGCTCGGAGCTCAGAGTTGCGAGGATGTCTCAGTTGAAACGGGCTGGACCACCTTATGAGAATATCTTAGGCGAAACGCGCTTGACCACCTCGTGCGCGACATTTCGGAGCTCAGAATTGGGAGGATGTCTCAGGCGAAACGCTCTGGACCACCTCTCGCACAGCAGAGTTTCAAGGATGTCTCTAGCGAAACGACCCGGATCACCTTGCGCTCGGCGTTCCAGGGCCCAGATTTTAGAGCACGTTTCAGGCGAAAGGGTCGATCCTCGACAACTCGGCAACGAGAGTTGTAAGGATGTCTGAGGCGAAACGGCCAGGACCACCACATTTGTTTGAGGATGTCTCTGCTCTACTTTCCCTCGGCTGGAGTAAGGTTTTATCAGAACATTACCCCGTTCAGCAAGCGGTTTGGGGAAAGACCCCAATGTCCTTCTGGAGGTCCTGGTGGAACCCACTTGGGGCGTCTTGGGGGCGTTGGGGGGGCCTCTTGGGCCGTCTGGAAGACATCTTGGGCCGTCTTGGGGCCATCTTGGCAGTCTTGGGAGGTATCTTGGAGGTCAGTTTTGACCATCTAGGCCGTCTTGCAGTTTTCTGGTTTTCCTCGCTTTGTGCGTCATTCTGGGTAGCTGTCTGTATCGGCGGAAGGCCCAATTGAAGTCTTTTTTTTTAACCACGAAACCTTGTGGCAGGCCACAGGGGGTGGCGGATAGTGACCTTCGGCCCATCCTGCCACAGTGCCTGGGCCGTAGCTCAGAGGCCTCTTGGATGCCTTTGGGGATCTCTTGTGAGGCTTCTCGGAAGCCTTCTGAAGGCAGTTTTGGAGTGTCTTGCGGCCTCACGGGGTCTCTTGAGGGTTCATTGGGACCTCTTTTGGGTCTCTTGGGGGCTTCCTGGGCCGTCGTCAGGGCCTCTTCGGGGCCTGCTAGCGGTTTCGGGGATCATCTTGGTGCGGAGGGCTCGAAATGGCAGTTCGTGTTTTGCCCTCTGCGCCCCTCTTGGGAAGTAGCCGTCTCGGTTGCCCTCGATCGGGGGTCTCTTTGGGCTTTTTGGCCCGTCTTGGGGCGATCTGGGGGTTCCTAGTGGGCCGTCTTGGAGCGTCGGACGTCCAGAAAGGTGAGAGCGCTATTTTTTTATATTCCCAAAAATGCATGGTTGTGGGGACCACGTGATTGCACTGCTGCGTCCTTCGGCTTGTCGCCGCCGAGTCCGCTCAAGCTTCAGCGCGCTGAGGCCCCGCTGCCAGATGCTGGTGGAGGGCCCCTGCGCGGCCCTGGCGGAGGCTGGGCCCGGCGTGCTGCGAGAGCTGGCGCGCGGGGCGGCCGCGGCGGCGGTGCGGGTGGCCTTCTCGGGGCAGGCTTGCGCGCCGTGCCCCGATTGCCATTCTCCGCCCTGCCCAGCCTGCCTGGGCTGTCCGCCGCCGCCGCCCTGCCCAGGCCCGGCGGACTCGGAGGCGGGGCCGCCCGCCTGGGCCGTGGCGGTGGCGCCGCCGGGGGGAGCTCCCCTGGCGTCGTGGCCGTTCTGACTGGTGCTGGTGCTGCTGGCGTTCTTGGCGGGACGGTGGAGCGCGGTGCCTCGGGCATCCCCTCGTCCTGTGGCCGCGCGTGAGCATGTCGACCTACGAGGAGCGCCGCCCAGGAACCCGCTTGCTGGTGAGGTTCGCCGGCGATGATTGGACTCACGAGCGGCTCCTACTCTGGCCCGTCCACCGTGACCGCCGCCACGAGTGCTGGGTGGTGGAGACGCCGGACGGCGACCGCTACGTGGAGCGGAAAGCGGACTGGCGCTGGCACGTCTCGCTGGCCCACGGTTGGCACGAGGGTTTCCGCGGCGACGTGGTCAGGTTCGAGGGAGAGCTCTCCCGCGATGTGCTCCGCCAGATGTGCTCCGCTCAGCCCGCTCGCGAGCTCGAGCGCGGGAAGCGCCGCAGACGTCGCTTGCCCGCGGGGCTTGGCGGCCACTGGACTGGCATGGCGACGAGTTTGGCCTGGGCGCTGGATTGCTCGATGGCGCGGGGCGACGGCTCAGGGGCAAGGGTGACCTCACGAGCGCCACGCGGGCCCGCGAGGCTCCCGGCGACGAGGAGGCGACGCGCCCCGCCCTGGGCCCGCCCCCGGAGGACGCCGAGACGGTGCTGCTGGTGGCGGAGGTGCGCGCTGGTGGCGGGCTGCAGCTCGGCGATTAGGTTGCGGCAGTCTCTGTCGACGTCGCGGCGGGGTCGAAGGTGATCGGCAGCCGTCCCGACGGACGCCCCGTGCTGTGCGAGCGGGTCTCGGTCGGTGACGTGGCCACTTGGTGCGCCGAGGCGTTCGCCGATGCTGGCCGGGTGGCTGAGCGGGGTGCTCTGGCCGGCGCCGCGCCGCCCGCCGCCGGGCCCCCCCATCGACCTCCGCGACCTGGCCCGCGCGGAGCCCACCGGAGTAGGAGGCGCCGACGCTTTTCGAGATGGCGGCGACGCCGCCAGCCGCGAGGACGTCCGGACCCTCTCAGTGGAGTGGAACGAGCAGGGAATCCGCTCCAAGGAGTTGCGCTGGACGGTCGGGGAGAGCTGCGGGGAGCCGCTGGACGGCTGCGAGCTCCGCGGCGCTGGCGCCGCGCTTCACCTCTGCCAGCTGTTCGCGCAGCACGGCGGCGACCCGAAGACGTGGAAGTCGAACTTCTGCAGGGGGTGCGGGATCGGCCAGCGCGACCGCGCATGGCATGAGCTGAACTGGCTGGTGACTATCTTCTGGTTGGCGGGGACCTTCGACACGGCGAACCTCGGCGGGCTGGCCTGCCTGGAGGTCGCCGCGAGGCGGATCGCCCAGATCACCGAGGCCCGTCGGGTCGCGTCAGGGCAGCCCGCTGCTTGGGAGGCTGGCCGCTTCTTGACGGGCACTAGCGACCCTTTCGATGTGGCCTCGCCCGAGCTGCGGAGCTTCGCGAACCGCTCGGCTCGCGATGAAGCGGGCCGCCTGACGGCGCTCGGCCGCGGCAGGACGCTGGCAGCGGGCGGGCGCTGTGCCGGCGGCATCGAGGATGTGGCAGGCGCGCTGGAGTCGGGGGGGGCTTCCCCGTGCTGGCGCTGAGGATGGCGCAGGCAGGGGCGGCGGTCGAGGGCGTGGGCGAGGCATGGCAAAGCCTGGCGACGCGGCGGCCGCCGCCGCGGCGAAATGACGGCCACGGGGCTGGGGGCGAGGCCGCCCCCCGGCCTGGGGGCAGAGGCCACGCGCGGCGGGCATGTCTACCTTCTGCCTAAGCTGCGCCAGCTGGGCGCCGACCTGGCTGCCCCCCTCGGCCGCCGCGGTCGAGCGCTCGTGCGCCGGTTGGCCAGCGAGGTGCTGGCAAGTCTGAATTGGTTGCGCGGTGTTGAACGGCGGCCTTCAGGAGCACCGCCTAGCCTCGCCGCGCGCAGCCGCGTGGCGGACACCCAGCGCGAGACGCTGCGGCGGGCGCAGACCTTGGCTGCAAGCTGGTGCGCGTCGGCCTGCGCGGGCGATCCGCAGGTTGCCGAGCGCGAGAGGCTCGGCGCGGGGCAAGACGGGCCAGGCCGACGATGCGGTAGTGATGGGCTCACCCCGCACTCCATGGCTGAGCTGCGTCGTCGCCAGGCTGGCGAAGGGGCCGCGGGGCGAGCAGCTGTTCCCATGGGACTACAGCCAATTATATCAGATGTTCGCGCAGGCTGCGGCGGCCCTGAACTTCAATGTGGTTCCTTACCAGGGTCGCCGCAGCGGGATCTCGATCGACAGGGCCGCGCGAGATCGCAGCCTCGACGAGTGCATGAAACGCGGGAGGTGGAAGACCGCCAAGAGCGCGGCCAGGTGCGAGAATGCAGGGCGGCTGAACGACGCCCGGCGGGAGCTGTCGGCCGCGCAGCAGGCCCGCGCCCTCGACTGCGAGCGCCGCCTCGAGGAGTGCCTCGTGCGCGGGTGCCGCCTGCCGATGCCATCGCCGAGGCCGCGACGCTCTTCCTCGCCGAGCTGTTCAGCGGCCGAGGGCGAGTGGCGGCGGCGGCGCGGCAGGCGGGCTACAGCTCACGCTAGTGGGACATCCTGTCGGGGCCGCCGGGCGACCGCCTGCGACGCTGCGTGGAGCTGGACCTCCGCGCTCGGATGCGCGCGGGACAGGCGCTGGCGGTCATGATTGCTCCGCCTCGCACGTCGTTTTCGGTCGCGCAAAACGCGAGCCTGCCCCGCGGGGGAAAGACCTGCCCTCGAGGCCTCCCTGGGTTGCCCCACGTCCAGCGCGACAAAGTCCTCGTTGGACGTGCCTGTCTGGTCTTCTGAATTTGCACGATTCGCCTGTGCTGCCGAATGCGCGCTCCTTTTTGCATCGAGCACCCACGTAGCAACCATATGTGGCGCGATCCTGTTCTCGCTGCGTTACTGGGCCGTTCGGATACTCGCACGTCGGTGGTCAATATTGTGCTTCCGGGGCGCCCCATCGGAAGGCCACCGGACTGGTTGTTGGCGGGGCCGATTTAGATATGGGAATCCTTGGGGGCCCGGAGCTGTCACATGTACAGGATGGCATGGTTTCTGTTCTGTCTCGGGCAGGAAACACATTATATTAGAGGGCAGAAGCGCGCGTGAAGCGGCGGCTTGCCCTCCGAACCTTTTCGAAGTGTTAAGCTCGGGTTTTGTTGTATCCAGTATGGTTTTCGAGCGACATACAGGTTGACTTGCATAGCGGGAGTGTGGACAAGCTCCCTCCTCGGACGGCTGTTTTTTAATTAAAAAAATCGGAATTGCCTGACGGCGCTCCGCTCCCGTGGCTGTGAACTATGGCGCGGGGCCTAAAAGTTAGGGGTGGTGTGTTGCAGACTCTGCGCGTTCGAATGATCTCGCTCGGCCTTGTTTCCAGGTCACTTTAACCTTTACCAGTTGCCAATATTTGGGCCTCGCTCCCAACAGATACCGTCTTTCGCCGAGAAGACGCAACATGAACATTCATCTTGCGTCTTGGGTCCCATTTGGGGGGTCATTGGGGGCCTCTTGGGGCGTTTTGAAGCTATCTTGGGCGTTTTGGGGTGGTCTTGGGCCCTTTCGGGACGCTCGTGGATTGTCTGGGGGGCCCCCAGGGGCCCTCTTTGGGGTTTTGGAGGTTAGTCGTGGGTCGTCTCAGCGTGCACATTGCTCACGCGACACACCCATGGTCCCAGGATCGTCCATGAATTCCCAAGAACGCCAAGGAACCCGGGGTCGGGGCCTTTACGACGTTTCCCGCACATTTTTTGAATGCTGACAGTTTTCTGATGAGCCTTTGGCCACTCCACTTGTTACATGCTGGCGGCACGGTGGCGGCTTGTTTTGTTTTGCGCAGAAGTATAATTGTTTCTATTCCCTTCCCTTTTCTTCAGTATTTTGGTATGTTCGAGTATGGCTTTGGAGTTGCATTCACTCTGAGCGATTGAGTGTGAACGACTTTCACCAGCATTGACTGACTATGAGTGGGTCTGAACATGACTTGGTCCGAGTATGAGTGGGTCTGTTTGCAAGTGAGTATGTCTGGCTATGAGAGGATCAAAGTAGGAGCGGGTCTGGTTGTGGGTGAGTCTGAATACTGGCGGACCTGTGCGTGAGGGAGTTTGAATGTGACTGACTTGGCGTGTGTGGATTAGAATGGGCGCGTCTGACTACGAGTGGGGGTGTGAAGGAGTCGGGGTGTGCACAATATGTCCGAACTTGAGTGAGTGTGAGTGTGACCGGGACGAGCATGAGTGGGTCTCAAAATATTTCTGTCCGACCGTGGGTGTGCGTGAATCTGTGTAAGACCGAACTTGGATGGATAGGTGAGCGTGAGTGAATCCCAGTATGAGTGAGTCTTGGTCTGGGCGACTGCGAGTGTGAGCGGCTGAGTATGAAGGATTCTGCGTGTGAGTGATATGGTACGAGTGCCGAGCGGGTCTGAGCAAGTCCAGGTTTTGGTGAGATTGCACGTGTAAGTCTGAGTAAACCAATGGGTCTGGGTCCGGCCAGGTCTCAATATCAGCTGACTGGGAACGAGCGCGTCTGAACGTGAGGGAGGGTCGAGTTTGAATGAGCTTGAGCGCGAGAGAGTCTGAATAGGAGTGAGTCTGAGTATGAGTGAGCATGGGAGTGACTGAGTTCGAGGTTGAAGGAGCCCGAGCGTGAGTGAGTTTAAACACGAGTGCGGAAGGGGGGCGGGGGCGAGGTCGGGGGGCCGAGGTGTTGCACGAACAACATGAACACCGTACTGAACATTTGGAGACCAGGCAATTTGCCCTAATGCGTAGCACACATCAGCGTGTTCAGAAACATATTACCTTCTTGGGGGAAGGGGAAGGACACGATGAGCAGGAGGAGGGGAAGGACGTTGATCCTGTTCGTTATCATGCACATCTATAGGGGGATGGTGTCACAGGCAAGGACGCGCACAATCGCAGTGAGGAGACGTAGTCCGACGTGGAGGGCGAAGCGAAATGGCATGCACAGCACAACATGTGCTTGCCATGTCTTCTAAAATTGGCCATCTTAGGTCAACGATTCTAGCCATCATCGTGACATCATGCGGGCAGTAGGACCGCACTTGGGTATACCCCCCACACGCCAACAGCACGACGAGCATTGCAAAGTTGGCAGAAACCAGGGAGGAGAGGTCCCGTTTTGGTCTGCGTAGGACCGCTCTCCGCTGGACCCCACCGCATTTCACGATACTGGCGACTCTTGCGTGGCTGACACCACCTAGGGATTGCTGCCCCGATCGGGTTAGTGTAGGACCACGACGCTGTTGTAGCTAGAGGAAACCGAAGCGATGAGGTAACGAGGGGGAAACGAGGAGGCAGTGGAGGCAGCGAGGAAGAGGAGATGAGGTGGATGGATGTGGGGGGGAGAGGAGGGGGCTGGAAGGAACAGCAGCGCTGTATTCAAAACGATGCGCCCGCACGCGCGCGCGCACATGCGGCCTTGGGCAGAACCATTTTCCATCCTTCCGCTTCAGAAGTGTGGTTGTGATACCACCGTTCTGCAATGTCTCCGCCCACGTGGGCCCTGGCCATATTGATTCCCGACTGCCCTTCACAGAGAATCGTTGGGAGTGCATATGGAAGCCAGAGCGTGCTGTGTACACGTTGGGCCCTCATGCGAACTTGTCGCTGGAAATCCAGCGAGGAAGGAACGTTCTCACGGAGCTGAACACGCCCGGTTATGATTTGATGCACGATTTCGAAGACCTCGAGGGCAAAATTGGCCTTCGACACATGTTTGTTCGAATCTTCGTGGACGACCGCCAAGTCCTGGACACCGAGACTGTGCGCAGATCCGATGCCCCAGAGTGGAACGCCAATTACAACATCGATATAGTAGCCTCGAGATCGATGATTCGCCTGCAAATATTCGAGGGGCATCCAAATTTAACCGACGAGCGCAACGAGATGGATCCTCAGATCACTGGCACGGCCCCGACGCCGATGCGTTCGCTTGGCTTCGTGGAGTTCTGCGTGGGGGACATTCCATTCAGTAAGGAAGTGGAATGTTGGCTGGAGCTTCGCTTCCCAGATCTGCTTCAGGGCAACAACGTAGTTCGTTACGACCAGCACTGCAAGCAGAGCGACGAGCAGCGGAACCGACGCTTATACGACAGCGGCAAGAAGCTTCAAAGTATCGGCTTCCTCGGGACGTCCCGCGTGCACTACCAGAAGAAGAGGAGGACCATAGAGGGAGGGGACAATTTACTTGTATGGAGGATTGACGAGGGAGAGAGTGAGAGGGAGACGGGGAGAGGGAACGAGGCAGGGAACGAGGGAGGCAGGAGAAGTAGGAGTTTGAGGAGGGCTGCAATACACCCTACCGTCCCAAGCCCCCTCCTCAAAAGTGCACACAAGTCTTTCTTTCCACTGCGGGCGCCCACCCTGGAAAGACGAGCGGTCGGTCGGTCCGCCACGAGCCTGTTGTAAAGTATCTTTCCTCCGCTTGAAGGACACCCAGGACAGCCTCAGTTTGAGAAGCACATGCCCTCTATCCGTTGGAGAAGCGTCGCAGGATGTAAAAGGGTATGCTCGGCGACAGTCCCACCAGAGAATCCTTCTCAAGGAGGCCCAGGGATAGCCTGATGTTGAAAAGATGTCGCCCTCCGTTCGTCGTTGAGGATGTCAAAGTCGGGGACGTTTGCTTCGCGGAAGTCTCACTCGAAAGACCAGTTTCGAAAGCGGAATTGCTTTCCCTCCGTGTTGGCTGTGGCACAAGTTGAAACGCTTGGTCGTAGAGTTCGAGCAAGGGTCAAGTGAGTGTAGATGGGTGGATTTCGTTTTCGAATGTGCGCGAATCGAGGGGGAGACCCCAATACGGTTTGGGCGTTCGTTAAGGAATGTGCCCAGGAGGTTGCAGATCCTAGAGGATTCCTTGACTGATGAGGGCTGCGGTGATATCCATGGCCGATCCACGATTGGAGTTCAACCAGATTCCAATGCATGGATTCTTTCTGTGAACGTTCCTTGCTCAATGCCCCCACCGTCTTGGAAATGATTCACCATCCGCTTGCGCAGGCAAGGCCAATTTGGAAGCCGAGTATGCACGGCGCCAAGCAACAACTCTTTTTTGAAACGGCCCGCTTTCTATCTGTTCTTTGGTTGTGTGAATGATGGTATGCGGTGCCAGTCAAGCGACATCCCCATTGTGAAAGCCGCTAGTGGTCCACTCATCGAGGCCTTGAGGCCTCCTGTGGCGACGAGGACGTCGCAAACGAGGATGTGGATGCTGTTGCTACTGGTGGCGACGGTGAGCTTAGGAGCGCTTGAAGAGGGATCGCAGCGCCTGAGAGCGTTTTGGAACGTCTGGGAGCGCTTGGGGCAGCATGGGGAGCGCTTGGGTCCCAAATCGGGATCGGCGAGGGGTGCCCGAAACCCTTTGTTTCGTTATGTTTGTTTTCAATGTTTTTGTTATTTCCTGTGCCCACGGCTCCTCGGGGCCAGGGGGTGGGCCGATGTCGAGCATCGGCAAGCGCGCACCGAGCAGCATTTTGGTACATAGGTTTGTGAGGGTTGGGTCGGATGGATGTGCACATGTGTTGCATAGGCCGGTGCGGGTTGGGTCGGATGGGTGTGCACCGACTACTATTTGTACATCCGATGATTAAGGATCGGAGGGCGAGGGTAGGATCGGGTGGATGCGCACCGATGTTTTGCATGGGCTGGTGGCGGTTGGGTCGTATGGACGTGCGCGGCGCTAAGGCGAGAGCCACATGTTGGAAAGGAAGCGGCTTCAATCCTTGAAACTGCTGGAATTTGCTTAGGCGAAAGCTCGCGGCGCTGAAGCGAGAACCACGTGTTGAAAGTGAATCGGTTTCCTTGAAATTGGTGCAAGTTTTTGAGACGAGTATGCGTGGCGCCGAGGCGAGGGCCGCATTTTGAAAACGACCCGGGCCCCTCATTCAGTGCGACGGTTGCAACTACCGAGTTGCAGGACCATAGTTGGCGAGGATGTTTCAAGCGAGGCGCCTAGCCCAGAGAGTCATTCATAAGGAAATGGAAAGGAACAGGAAGAGGAGAAGGAGGAGGATGAGGAGGATGAGGATGAGGATGAGGATGAGGATGAGGATGAGGATGAGGAGGAGGAGGAGGAGGAGGAGGAGGAGGAGGAGGAGGAGAGGAGCAGGAGGAGGAGGGAGGAGGAGGAGGAGGAGAGGAGGAGGAGGAGGGAGGGAGGGAGGAGGAGGAGGAGGATAGGGAGGAGGAGGGCATGACGACACTAGGTCCGCGATCCGGTGCCTTACCAGGGGGGACTCTGGGGCGCCAGGGAGACCGCTCCGGCTCCGGCTTTGCAGACAAAAACTCGTGGGTTCAGCAGACGGGTCTCCAAGTGGATGGAGAGGGGGGGCGAAGGGGAGGGAGGGGGGACTGGCAGTCAGGACGGTGTGGAGCGCGGAGCGGGGGGAGGGCGTCCAAGGAGCGTGCGGCTTCGCTATCGGGGGCCCATAGCCGGTCTGTCGGCGACGTATCGCCGACTCCACGCAATGTTGCCAGTCCCCTCCTATCGTTGCCTCTCAGGGAGGGGGGATCCTCCTCGTAGTGCTCCTGGTCCTCCTCGCTTTCCCCTCGTCCTCCACGCTGTCTTCCTAGTCGGCTGTCTCGTCGTCTACCATTCCCTTTTATTCTTCTTCGCCCTGCGAGTCTAGTGGAGAAAAAATCGCTTCCCGTTGTCTGGTCAGGGTGACAGTACCAAGCTTCAGGATCAGGCAACTTGACGAACGAAAACTATCTCGGTATCCAGGGCCACAATTTACTTGCATTGCATCCCTGTAGTACGGGTACGGGAGTTCAAACGTCGTGAGCGTATATTGCGAGGACATCTCAGGCGGTATTTTGAACCGTGTAGCTGTCGACCACGTCGGGCTTCAGATTGCAATATTAGGAAATCTCTCAGACGAATCGCCCAGACCGCGGGATGAGGATGAGGGGCACATGAAGAGGCGGACGATGAGGATCAGCTTTTGTTGAACCACAGACCTGAATCGGTATTCCAGCTTGCTCTTTCCATGGAGGGCGCGCGATCGAGCGCTCGATACCATGAAGGGCGCGCTCCACCTGGACTCTGCTGGGAACAACTCAGGTACCGGTTTGCCTGACGAGTTTCAATTCAATGCTGGCGAGTTGAGGGTCAAGTTTGTACTCAGTCCAAGCACCAGCGCCAGCTATGACAAGTACTTTGCGCTAGGCTTAACTCCGCCCTTTGCAGAGTTCGAGCTACTGGTCCAGCAGGATCACCTGCCTGACCTGAACCTGCAATCGCTTGTGGACAACACCTTAGATGTGAAACTTGCCCTTTTCGACGATTTCATCATGTCTTTCTTATTGTACATGTGGTACATTATGTTATGGAAATCCAGGGTTATCTCTCTTTGTTGTACCATTACTGTAATTTGCTGGCTGACAGAATATCCAGACGAGGACTGGGCGCGATTGTCGACATTTGTTACTTGCTTGATTGTGTTGATCGTGAATTTTTTCGAGAACCAGAGATTGAGTATGACCACTGGAGGCCCGAACGCACCGCTGACAGAGGAAGGATTCAACCGCGTCGCCAATTGGGACGACCCCTGGCAGATGCACGTGTTCATGCTCAGATTCGTGGCCCTGCTTGGTGGGACCGTGCGGAGCGAGCACGACCTCCACCAGTTCGTGGTGCCGATGGTGAAGGACGGGGTGCCGGTGGTGAGTCTGAGCACTGCGCTCGAGGCTGGATGGCATCGAACCGCGACCGTCTTGATGGTTGTTCTTCCTGTTCCTCATCCTTGTTTCCGCCCCCTGCTCTCCCGTCCGCCAGTCCCCCACTCCCTTTCACTACCTTTTCCCCTAGGGCTCCTCCTCCCGCTCCCCCTCCGCCAGCCCTGCTTCGTGTCTTGACCCGCCTCCGCCTCGTCTGTGTTGCCGACGGAACTCTCAAGCCCAGGTAAGCAACAGCGTCTGCGCGAATGGCCATCATTCGCCACACGAACACATCGTTGTGAAGGCGGCTCGTTCTCTCGTCCCCCCCCTCCGTTCAGCGTCGCCACGGCCCGACTCGGGCTCGGAAAGCTCGGTTCGGATTGGCTGCGAAGTCGATCCGTAGTGGCGTCTGGCCGTTTGTCTCGGTGACTGGCCAGGGGTTCCAGGCGCATCCGGCTCTCGGGGTTTGCTCGCACGGCGCGCCGCTTTGGGGGTTTGGGTTGCGGACGTCGTGTCCACAGGCCTCGATCCTCGGTCGCCACTTCCTCCTCTTCTCCACCTGATCCTAGTAGTCCGTTGCTCGACAAGCAGCGAAGCAGCGCATGCGCGGCTGCCTGCGCCAAGCGACGCCCCCCTTTCCTCGCCGTGTGCTTCGACTCCACATGACCGTATGTATGTATGGAAGACGGGCAATGTTGCAGTGGACACGTGTCGAGCGACGGCGCAACAGATGCGCATCACATGTCATATCCGCGCCAAGCCAAAGCCCAGCACGATTAGAAGTCACGGGCTCCCAATTGATGTTCATAGAGTCCCTGCTTCACACCCATTTCCAAACCTTCCTGTGTGTTGGGTCTTCGTTTGGAATCCGCAGCGCCCAGCGTCTCCACACTCACTCCTCCTGCACCCCTCTCCTCCTCATCCCCGTGTTCTTTCAAACCCTCCTGTGGAAGTTAGGTTATCATTTTGAATCCGCAGCCCCGCAGCCCCCCCCGTCTCCTCACTCGCTCCTGCCCCTTCTCTCCTTGCCTCTGCTCTCCGCGTGCCCATTTCGGCGCACCTCTGACAGGTTTCGTGCCCCCAGGGAGCTCCACGGAATGCCTCACTGGCATGGTACCGCATGGCGTTCCCCCTCCCATTTCGGGATACAAACCGTGTGGTTCGTAGCCCCACAGGAAGCATACAAACCGTGTGTTGCTCCATCGAAGGTCTCACTGGCATGGTACCGTACAGCGTCCCTCCGACCATTTCAGCACACTCCTCACACGGTTCGTAGTCCCACAGGGAGCTCCATTTATGGCCTCACTGGCATGGTGCCGCACAGCGTCCCCCCGCCCATTTCGGCAAACTCCCTTATGATTCGTGGTCCTGGAAACAGCTCCACCGATTGCCGCTCTGGCATGGTATCGCACAGCGTCCCTCCGAGCTTTTCGCACACTCCTTACACGTTACGTGGCTTCACAGGGCGCTCCACGGAAGGCCTCGCTGACCTGGTACCGCATAACATCCACCCGCCCATGCACACCCTTCACACGTTTCGTGGCTCCACGCGGAACTTCACCGATGGCATCATTGTCATGGTGCTGCATAACGTTCCCCCGCGTTTCTTGTACACCTCTCACGGGATGCGTGGCCCCATCGGGAGCTCCGCCGAAGGCCTCACTGGCATGGCACCGCATAGCGTTCCCCTACCCATGTCGGCACAACCCTCACACGCTTCATGGCTCCACACGCAGCTCTACCGAAGGCTTCATTTATACCACCGTGCACATCATTGATACGTTTCGTGGCTTCTTCAGGGAGCCCCTCCGACGGCCTCTCCAGCATGGCACCGCACAGCGTCGCCCGTCCATCTGTCACATCATTTGCACGTTTCGCTGCCTCACAGGGAGCTCCACCGAAGGTCTCAATGTTGGTAACGCATAGCGCTTCCCCCATTTCGGCATGCCCCTTACACGTTTCGTTGCTTCACGCGGAACTCCATTGAAAGATTCTTTGGCATGGTACCGCGCAGCATTTCTCCGCCCATTTGACACACCCCGCACACATTTCGCGGCTCTACACGGAGTTCCACCGACGGAGTCATTCGTATTGTACCGCATAGCGTTCCCCAGCCCACTTCGGTATACCTCTCACACGCTTCGTGGCCCCGAAAGCAGCTCCACCGATTGCCGCATTGGCATTGTACCGCATAGCGCCCTCGCCCCCCCCGTTTCGCCAAATCCCTCGCACTTTTCGTGGCCCCACACGGAGTTCCCCCGACGGCTTCATTGGCATGTTATTGCGTAGTGCCCTCCCGCACATTTGGACATCCCCTCACGCGTTTCCTGGCCCCTTTGACAGGGAGTTCTTTTCGCAGCGCATTACGCATGAGGAGAGTGTAGTTTCCTGTGCGGCTGGCCAATGCTTTTGCACAACCAAGAGCCACAACCACAACTGGATGGATTTTCCGGGAGGGCCTCTCAGAGAAGAACCCCCCGACCTCGACATGAGCACCTTGGTTGTGGTTCTGGTCGACTTGGCTGTCCTGGGACGCATCGACTACAACCAGTACGAACTGGTTTCGCCGGCGCTGGTTTTGCCCCGCTGGTTTCGCCCCGGCGGCTGGTTTCGCCCCGGCGGCTGGTTTCGCTGGCGCTGGTTTCGCCGACGCGAGCCCAAACGGGCGGGTCGGGTCGGGCGGGCGGGCCCTAGCGAGCGGGTCGAGTCGGGTCGGGCGGGTGGACCCTGACGGGAGGGTCGGGTCGGGTGGGCGGGACATTAAAGTGGGGGGGAGCGCTCGACCGAGCACGCGCGAGCCCTAACCGGCGGGTCGGCTCGGGCGGGCGGACCCTAGCGGGCGGGTCGGGTCGGGTCGGGCGGGCGGACCCTGACGGGTGGGTTGGGTCGGGCGGGCGGGACATCAAAGTGGGGGGCGCGCTCGACCGAGCACGCGCGAACCTTAACGGGCGGGTCGCGTCGGGCGGGCGGCCAGGGCGGGTCGTGTCGGGTCGGGCGGGCGAACTTTGACGGGCGTGCCGAGTCGGCCGGGAACCGTAACGGGCGGGTCGCGTCGGGCGGGCAGACCCTAGCGAGCGGGTCGGGTAGGGTCGGGCGCGCGGACCCTAACAGGGTGGGCGGGCGGGAGATCAAAGTGTGGGGCGCGCTTGACCGAGCACGCGCGAACCTGAACGGGCGGGTCGGGTCGGGCGGGCGGACCCTAGCGGTTGGGTCGGGTCAGGCTGGGCGGGCGGACCTTCACGGGCGGGTGGGGTCGGGCGGGCGGGCGGGACATTAAAGTGTGGGGCGCGCTCGCCCGAGCACGCGCGAACCCGGACGGGCGGGTCGGCTCGGGCGGGCGGACCTGAGCGGGCAGGTAGGGCCGGGCAGTTTCGCCGACGGCAGCTGGTTTCGCCGACGGTAGCTGGTTTCGCCGATGGGTGGTCGCTTGCTGTCCCTGCAAGGGAGCTCCACCGAAGGCCTCAGGGGGCAAGGCCGGTGGGCAAGGCCACGATCTTGTTGTCATATGGGCAGTTGGTCTATGGATTGCTATGACTATAGCTCGCGGAGCTATTTGTGTGTTCGCACCCCCTTCGAGGCGCTGAGGCGGCAGCCCTGGTGCAAGCTGGAACCGCGAAAGCTGAAGGATCGGACCAGAGGTTGCACAGGCTTCTCTTCCTCCAGCTCTCCCCTCCCTTTGTGAAGAAGTAATGCACAATACAAACATCAGCGTTCGGAGGACCGCGCGGATTTCTTTGGTTGGCGTTACCCCCCCCCTTCCCGTCGGCGTCTCTGGCGTCGTCCCTGGCTCGCATCAGGCGCTGGGGGAGTGGGGTCCAGCGCCGACCCATCAAATCCGCGTGGACGTCCGAAAGTTCATGTTTTTGTTACCTTTCGTTCCTCTATCTGCTCCCCCAGTTCTCCTCCCTCCCTTCACCCCTCTTCTGATCCACCTCGCCCCCCCCCGAAACTGCCTCTCCCCTCTCTTGCTCTTGCCTCGCTTGCTCTCCCAGTTTCCGTTGACAGGACAGGAGTGGTTGCGACGATATGAACGAACGAGAGCATGTGCCTCCACGGATAAGGGGCAGTCTGTTTTCCGAAACTCAGGACTCAGGAGGTTTGGGATCAGGAAGCGAAGGGGCAATTGCGCCTGGTCGTGCTATCCTTGCCCTGTTCCAGTGTCCAATCCTGCTCCTGCTTCTGCCTGTGCTCCCGCTCCAGCTCCGACATTGTTTTTTTCGTTGAACCTGTAACGTCAGTTACGGGAGGTCGTTCCCATTCCCCCCGCAGTAAGTGCAACGAAAGCACGGGAAGGGAGTCCCAGCCCCCCCACAAGCTCTGGCGCCGTGCTCACGGAATTGGTGTGGTGCTGACAGGCACTGGGGAGCCTCCAGACGCCTTCAGAGGCAGCCGTCGCAGTCGTTGTCGAACGTTCAGGTAGAAGGCCCGATGCACTTTAGGTGTCTCCGTCTGCCCACATCGTATTCCCGTTTGCGGCCGTATCCACATGACGATCTTAGGTTTTGCGCTCCCCGGTTCTACGTTAGCGCACTTGTATGGTGCAAGTGGTTAAAGTAAAGTTGTCTTGATTTCGAGGGCGCCGCGCTCTGGGGCATCTTCGCCGCCGCTGCGGCGTGTCTCTTTGCGTGGGGGGGCCCGGGAGCAACTGCAGCTTTGCGCCATACTTCTTTCACGAGGGCATTGGGGAACTTACTCCTTCCTCTCCCTCCCCCTCCCTCCCCCTCCCTCCTCCTCCCCTACCCTCCTTCTCTCGCTGCATTTCCTTCTGCTGACCTGCCGCCGGGGCTACAGTATTCCGCCTCGTACCTTGCGCCGCTGCCGCCGCGAGCGTCTGTGGAATTCCCCTCAACTTTCTGCGTGGGGCCAGGACCCCCCCACTTTTTCCCCGAGGGAAGGGACAAGGAAAGATCGAGAAGGAGGCAAGATGAGGATGAAGGAGGGATGGGGAGAAGGTGGAATGTAAACGTGGGGTGCAGCTACATGGCGCATTGCCCGTGCAGTTCGCGTGGCCCTGAAACGCGGCGCGGAATAGCATTGCGTTCGTGGGAAACTGGTAGGACGTCGCATCCAGGAGGCTTCAGCATGCCTAACTTTAGCTCAATTTGAGCCCAGTTTTAGTCCACTTTAAACCCTTTTCTAGTTCACTTTTAGCCGCACAGTTGGCCCACTTTTAGCCCACTTGCAGCACACTGTTTGCCCAGATTTGGCCCACGCGCGCAAGTCTTTCAGTTGCGTGCCCCAGAGGCCCGATGGGAATACGAAAACTACGAACGGGAATGAAGCCGTGGTGGCGACATTTCATAACCAGTCGAAAGCATTATCACCTTCGACCGACTGGAAATCAGGAGAAGGCCGACCAGGTTCGCGAATTCGCAGGACGAGGATGCGGCGGAGATTGCTCGGGGCACTTCGGCCCCAATTTAGCAGAGTTTAAGCTCTTGCTGAACCCAGATTGAGTCAATTTTCTTTTAGCCCACTTTGAGCCCAACTCTAGCCCACTATTAACCCACTTCTAGCACATATTTTGCCCTGTCGCTGGCCGTCTGGTCGGTTGCGTCGCGACGTGAGTGCGAGGCGCGAGGACGAGGAAGAAACATACTAGGAGCGGGAAGGGGCACGGGAAGGAGGAGGAGCTGGAGGAGAAGGTTTGTTTGGCCCGAGTGGCCCGATCCTGAGTTGGAGAAGCCCTGTTTTTGGCGGGCCGAACCTCAGGCGTGTTCCACTGCGCCGTGATTCCTTGTCCCGTGCGAGAGCCCGCCTGGCGCCGCAGGAGGCGAGCCCAGCGGCACGCCGCCCGCGTTCCTCACCCTCAGCAGGTCGAAGGGTCTGCTGGCGGGACACCACTCGGCGCGACGGAAATGGTGTCCAGAGATGGTGCGCCCACAGGGGGCGTGGAACTGTCCATGCGGGAGGTCTTTGGAAGCGCGCCATACCAGGTGCTTGTGCGGAGTGCACGTCGAGCAGCGGTTGGGTGGTGGGCTGGCCTCGAGGGCCGCTTCGAGGCCGCAGCAGCAGCGGGCAGAAGCTCAGGGCCGTGCGAGAGCTCGGAGTGAGAGCCGTCGCAGAGAGAAGCAGGAACCCGACAGTCCGACCAGGAGACGAAGCAGTCTGTTGCGCGTATTGTCCCGATGACGAGGCTGGAAGCGATGGAGTACGATACTATCAAGGCACCCCCAACGTGGGACGTGGTGGCCCAGAAAAAGCTCCAGGCCCATACGAGGATCAGGATGCAGGAGGTTGCGAAGCTGGCGATGACCGCGAGAAGGGCCAACTAGCACAAGGACGCCGACCGGTGCGACCTGAAACTGCAGGTATTCAAGTGCATGATGGGGGCCTCCTCGCCCACCGAGATGCAGCTGGCGGAGATGAGAGCCAAGCGCGACAAGGCAGGCGAGAGACTGATGAGCACGCGGGCGAGAATGGCGACATTCCAGGCGCAGGAAAACGAGATCCTGGAGGAGCTGGACCGCCTGAAGGATATATCACGGAGCTCGAAAAGCAACGCAGGGAGGAGTAGTCCGACGACCACGCGAAGGATGTGAACATGGGAGTTGGTGGCGGCGGTGGTGGTGGACTGCCGCAGCAGCAGCCGCGCCCATCAGCGCTGGGCCAGCAGCAGAGGCCGCAGCTAGTCAATGCAACAGCGGCTGGCGCGGCCCCAGATCCCATGGCGGTCGTGATGCAGCAGGCGATCGCGAAGATGGAGCAGCAGGTCAGACAGATATCGTTCGTGATTCACGTAATGGGGTTTCAGGCAGCCAATGGGGCGCAGCCGCCGCCAGGCGGGCAGCAGGCAGCGGCGTTCCCGCCGAGGCCGCCGCGGGCGGGGGCCCGCCCTAGCCAGTTGGCGCGGCGGAGGCCGTGCACGCGCAGGCGCTGTTCCATGCGGAGGTGAAGGAGGAGGAGGAGGCGCTGCGGAGGGGGATGGCGCTGCGGGTGGCGGCGGCGGCGGCGGCGGCGGCGGCGGCAGCTGGGGCGGGTTTTGCACGGCCCGCGCCGCCAGCGGCTCAGGCGACGACGCCAGCGCCGAGGGCCCCGACCGCGGAGGCGACGGGCGCGGCTGCGACACCGAACGCTCCGTCGAAGAGCCCGCTGCATGTGGGCGCGCCGCCGCCGCCAACGCAGGGGGCGCCCGTGGGCGGACGCCCCGCGCTATGGGGGGGCGCCCCCCCGGCGGCCGACTCCCGCGACGGCGGAGGAGACGCCGGCGCCGATGGGGCCGAGTCCGTATTCACAGACTCAGGCGGGTTCGACAGACAGGAGGACCCGCGCCTATGCCCGCCTCAGGAGAGTGCGACGGCCAACGTCGAGTCGGACGGGATGTCCGGCAGCCAGGTGCAGAGGGAGGTCAGGAAGATCGACGAGGCTTGCGCTGAGCTTGTGCGCGAGATCCGCTCGCCGCTGGGGAAGGAGTTCAGGGGGCTCGGTCAGGCCTCGGTGCCAGGCGGCCGTGCAGCTGGATCGGGCGGGGCGCGAGATGGGTGACCAGCTCGAGGAGGTGGTTGAATTCGCATGCAGTCCCGCGGTCAGTGTCCAGAGTGAGTCTGGGTGTAGTTCCTCGTCGGTGGGCAGCTTTTCAGACGATTGTCATCTTGGTTGTGGCTCGGATATATGCGAGTGCGACTCAGGGCGCGATGATGGCCGGTGTCGCGATCACCCGCAGACGGAGAAGTACGGCACGCAGCTCGAGCACAGCAGTGCTTGGCCATGGACACGGCCGAACGACAGTTACCTTGTGCACCTGGGGGCGCGCTCCGTCAGCAGGTTCATCGTCTTGGATGATTGGTAGGGTTGCTGCCGCTCAAGTATGGATGAATCGCGTTTTTCTTTCCCTGGGCTTCTTTCGCCTCGTCCGTTGGCCCAGCGGGCCTCTGCCGTCGCCTTCGGCCCGTTCCCCGCGGGGCCCCGGGCCGCGGTCGCCAAAAACGCTTTGGTGTCTAAGGCAGAGGAAGGTGCGGGCCGTCTGCTGCCGCCGCGTCTCTCTGGTGCTCCTGTCCAGCGGCGCCATCCTGCGCGGGGGTGGGGTGGGGCGCCGGTCAGTGCATCTTTTGGCTGCCGTCGCGGTGGTGAGAGCGTGGCTTCGCCTGCGCTGGAGGCGGGTAGGGGCGTTGCCAGCCAGGTCTCCGCAGTTTGTTGTGTTTCCTCTCCTGGGCCATTCGTGTCTGGACACGCGGCCCAGCGGGCTATCCCTGGCCGCCCGTCTCCGCGCCCCTCGGGGCCCTGGGCCGCGGGCCATGCTGGCGGAGAGGAGGCTAGCGGTGATGGCAGGTCGGTACAGGAGCGGCCCCAGGGGGCCCCTGGTCGACCTAACCTCTGCGGCGGCCTACCGAACCCGCCGGGATTTCGCCGGGGCGGGGGGGCTTCGGCCGGCTTGCATTGGGGGGGGCGATCGCGGGGTGGAGGTCGGACGTGGGGGCGGGATGGGGCACCGCTCAGCGCCAGCTCGTGCTACAGCCGCGGCAGCGAGTGCATGGCCTCGTCCGCGTGGGCAGATGGCAGGGGAGATGACGGCCAAGTCTCGGAAGTTTCACGGGTTTCGTCTCCTGCGCAACCCGTCTCTGGAAGCGCGGCCCAGCGGGCCGACCCTTGCTTGTCGTTCCCGTGCCCCTCGATCCTGGGCCGCGG